TGCTTGCCTTGCACACCCACTCAGGTGGGCACCTGCTTCTGAACAATGGTAGTAGCATCCAGTTTAATTAGAAAATAAAATAAGTTAGTTGAAGACTAATCCCACATGTGGAACAATCTATATAAACTTTATCGAATATTTTTCTTACATGTATATGTTTTATTGCTGCCAGTCAGAAGAGGACCTGACAAGGCCTAGTCCTGCTTGGGGATAGTTTTTTCCTGAGTTTAAATAATATTATCTTGTGTAAATGTTTTTAATACTCAGTATAGTACTGCAAATAATATACTAATATAAGTGTAATATAAGTATATCAATAATCTCAAATCCCCGATCCCTAGGTTCTGGTGCAGCCTTTGGCCAGGAAAATGTTTCTGCCCTTGTTCTGGCCAGTTTTCTTTTCTCGTCTTTCTTGCTCTCCCCCTTGATCCCATCGTCATTTGTGCTGCTTAAAATCTATCTGGTTAATTCTTCTTATCAGCTCTAACATACGAACTGCAGAGAATGTCTAATCTAGAATTGCTCAAAGTTCTGATGTTAAAATAAAAAAAATATTTACCAAGTATTTCTTAGCTCTATTTTATGCTGTTGACCTCCTCATCTTTTGCACCATCAGTTGCTCTTTGCTTCGGTATGCTGGGTTTTTGCTGTTTTAACTGATTTGTGTATGGGTACAGTGAACGGTCATGTAAAACTGTAACTACTTACCTAGAATTATACTTTTGCAGAAGTTAAAATTCCACTTGCCAACCACCTTATTTCATTTATATATGAAAGGACTTGGTCTAGTGTCTCCGAGTTCAAGTTGTATAACTCTAGTGTGGTAGTAATGACGCTTTAAAAAATAATCATATCATCACAATTAAAAGGAAAGGGAAATTACTGGTAGTTGGAGCCATCAGAGAGGGCTTTATCAAAAAGTGGGACTTCAACCGAGGTCTAAAGCATAAAATGCATATGAATGAGTGAAAAAAAATGAATGTTTCAGACCAGAAGAAATAATTAAGGGAAGACATTGGAGCCATGGTTAAAGCGAGTGAGGAAAGTGGTCTGATATGGTATAGAAGTTATCCAAGAAGATTGAAGCTAGGTTGTGGAAGATTTTGAAAATTAGATTGATTATTAAATAGAATGAGTGGAAATAAGGAGCTGTTAAAATATTTTTGAGCAAGGGCATAACATAGAAACAGTTCTGTTTAAGGAATATTAATCTGATGAAATCGAGTTCAGTGAGTCAGGAAATCTGAAATCTGCTATAGCGCTCTACACATGAAAGGGCTTTTATTTGACTGAGGGGAAAGTGTTAGGATTGAGAGACATTTTATAGGGAAATTGTGAAATTTAATGTCTACTTTGACATGAAATTCTGAAAAGGACTTTTGAATTTTGGTAATTGGCAACCAGATAGTGGCATTGAAGTTGGAGGGAAGAATTCTTTTGAGGAGTTAGAAGGAAGAAAAATCAAAGAATGTCAGAGCTTTATATGCCAGATCTGAAGCTGGTTGTTTCCATTTGATTTGTGCATTTCTTAGCAACCATTCAAAATTGGTATTAATTATGTTCATTTTTCCAAATGAGGAAAAAGAGACTCAGAGACATTACAAAGGATACTCAAAGTCACACAGTTAAATAAGTAGAGGCAGCAAGATTCAAGCACAGGCTTGTCTGTCTCTAGGCCAGTTCTCTCAATGAGAATTGGAGAAATTAATTGTTTGCCCACAGTGCTCGCTGACTAATTTCCTACTTATTGTGTTGTATGTTCATTATGTGCCTCCTGCAACCAAGACTTGAGACCAAGCCCTCTGTGTTGGTCATGGTTATATCCCCAGTACTTACAGTACAAGGTAAATAGTAGGTGTTCAATAAAAAATTTTTAACCTATAAAAACAAAGAAAGAAGCAAATAAGTCACAGAGCTGGCAGTGGAAACCAACCCTCTCCACTCACATTTCCCTTATTTGTCACAGCTGACCACAGTCCTTTTTTTCTTGGGTTTCTGAACCACCACACATGTGTCCAAACATCCCAACCAATATACAGAATGAGTAATGGTGCTTGATGTGAGGAGTTTGTGCAACCGGTGGCTACTCCATAATGCTTGTTTGTAGAAAATGCTGACATAATTTAAGACACCAAGAAAACCTGCTGAGAAATGACTTTTTCTTCTTTGCTTTCTTAACTGCCATCCCTCTAAAACAGTACTGGTGAAAGAACAAATTTGATTAAACAGAGTGTTAGCTCTCAGCCACCATAATCACTTCCTAAGACCCAGTAATGTGTGTTCTGGTTGGCTTATTCATTTGGTTGACTCTTAATTTTATATACTCTTGTGAAGATTTTTCTTTCCTCGTTATTGGGCTCTTGACTAAATAAATAGTAGTCAAAGCAGAAAGATAGGTTTTTGCTTGATGGTTTGATGCTTCCCCCTAGAAAGAATATTCTGGCCTTCAGTGTGTTTATTTTGCATCTAGGAGATCATGGGACTCATTGCCTTTAATAACGTGGTCTACTGAGCAGCCAAAGAGCACTCTCCTTTGAGTTCTGATGCATATGTTTGATGCTACATACTACTGTTTTGCCAATGGACTATGTGCAAGGATTTTACTACCCCGTTTACTGTGACATTGATAAATGAGCCAGTTTCTTCTCTTCTATCCTGAAAAACTTAAGCGGAAGGAAGTTCACAGACCCTTTTTATCTTTGCATGTAACATTTGTACAGACTTTTTACCGATGATAGTTTTTATTTTGCGTCTTTCTTTTATGATCATCTTCTGACAGTTCTTTGTGCATCATTTTCCAATGATGATTTAAAGACTGACCATGTGTTTTTGAGGCTGTGCATATAACAAAACATATTCTTTGTCATTCAAAACTCTGTATTCTATTGTATACTATATATGTATATTTATGTATGTAAAATAATAGTTAACATTTATTACAAACTTAATATATACTAATATATACATAACTACTTTATGTGTATCATCTCAGACGATTCAATAATCTTATGAAGTAGGTTTTATTATCTTTTTAAAAAAATAATACACTTTATTTTTAGAGCAGTTTTATTAGTTTTACAAAAAAAATGAGCCGCAAGTACAGAGAATTCCCATATACTACCACACCCTCCTACCACCCTGCACAGTTTCCCTATTATTATCAACTTGCATTAAACATTTGTTAAACATTTGTTACAATTGATGAGCCAATACTGATACATTATTATTAATTAAAGTCCATAGTTTACGTTAGGGTTGACTCTCTGTGTTGTGTAGTCTATAGGTTTTTGACAAATGTACATTTAAGGACATGTATCTACTATTACAATATCACACAGAATAATTTCACTGCTCTAAAAATCCCCTGTGCTCCACCTCTCCTCTTTTTTATAATAGAGAAAATTATAGCTAAGAGATGAAATAGTTTTCTAAGGGTCACATAGCTACACAAACGTGGGAGCTGTTCTGCCTGCCTAGAATCTATGCTCTTAACTCATACGTTCGACTGCCTGATTTGTTACAGTTATTTGATCATTTAAGGAGCACTAACTTCGTGAGATTCTTGTGAACTCTTACTAACTTCATGAAAGTGTGCTGTGTGTGGGAAGCATGTTGCCTGTGCTTTCCTTTTTTCCTTTGAAGGTAAAATGCTGTGAGAAATATTTCAGGGAGTTAAAATTTTAATTATTGGATATTTGATGAGCCTTGTGAGTTAAAGAGGAGTTAGTGACTGGAGTGGCATCATTAAAATGAAAGAAGAAATGAGGACGTCAGTGTCTCGTCATTTGCTTAACACTGGCTATAGGTGGCAGAGGCTGGGGGCCGGGTCCTACCTGCTAGGAGAATGGATGAATAAAGGAGGTAGCAATGGAGTGAATTTTTTAAATGAATGAATGAACAAAATGGAAGGGGTTTATGGAGAAATGAGTCAAAGTTGCCTCATAGGTTAATTATACACCTCTACCTTTGGAAGATTTATCCCCATAACAGTGGTTTTAAAAATATATGTGAAGAAAGGAAAAACATCACCTGAAGTTCATGTGGTAGATAGTGTATAAATTAGAAGGAACAAGCAGATAAGATCATTTTTCTTCACTGTGGACCACAGCTTCTGGACACCACAGTGCCTTGCTGCCACCACGGTCGGCATAGATCTTCATTCTGACCATGCCAGACGAGACAGAACTGCTCCACGAATATTCTTCTCGGGCTGTTCTCCTACTTCGGGCCCTCCCTTTATGTTACTGTGTAGGCAGCTTTGGTTCAGAAGCAATAACCAGGTGAAGAATGTATAGTTTTAGGATCTGTCTCTGGATTATGATATTGTTTCATGAAAAATCAGTTTATTACATGTAAGCCTTTCCCCCTGCGTTTTTGCTTATTTTCTTACAGTGATGGTAATGTTTACTTAGAACTATAGCTTGGAAGATGATCTAGTTTTAGATTAAATCCTCGGTTAGCAGTGTTTTAGTCCTGAATGACAGCAGCAAGGATAAGCAGTGGTTTTTTGAGATTCAACAAATTGTGACTTAGTTTCTTCATATATAAAGTGAGCAATTAGGACAACATCATCTCAAAAGCTAAAATGGCCATAATTCTTTACAAGGAAGAAGAAGGAATGAAGAAGAAACAAATTGACGGTAGAAAATAAAATAGAAAATGATAATGTTTCCCACCATTCCTTAAAACTGTCTTATCCTTTAGGTTTCTGTGAAACCATTTTTTTCCCTTTTTTCTCTTGCTTCCCTGGCCTCTTCTTTTTGATCTCTTGGATGAACTCACTCTCACCCTCTGCTCTTCCAATCTTGGTGGTTCCCAGGGTTCCAACTTCAGTTCTCTTTCTCAACTTACTCTCCTTGATCATCTTCCTTTAGATATAAACAAAACACTTTTTTTGATGATGATTACCAAGTAGACATTAGTCTCCTCCATTTGGGCCCAGGAGGTGAAGAATCCCTCATGATCCACTGCTGAATCATCCATTTTCTCTGTTTTTCAAGGGTCGTAAGAGTGAGGCTGAAAAGTTCTTCTTGAAGGCTATTGAGCTGGATCCCACCAAAGGAAACTGTTACATGCATTATGGTGAGTGGTTGATAGTTTTTTCCATGTCGCCCACATTTGCTATGAATGTTGATGTGAGATTTAGGTTTTGCTGGCAGAGAACATTTTGAGAGGACGTTGACTTTGTTGTTGCAAATTTAGCCTCATTCTATAGTCTTATCTTCTTATTTAAAACAGTCGCATTAAGGAGGGCTATGCATTATATTTTCCTTTAGTAATTTTCTTAGGACTTCAGTGGGGAAGGCATTTTCACAGTTGTTTTCTTTCAAGTTCAATGTGGAGTTTAAATGAGGTCTCATCCGGGAAAGCATCTCACTCCTGGCCTGATGCATAGTATATAATCAAAATATTAGCTCCCTTTTCACTCTGAAAGATAATGTATTGCTCATTTTGAAGTTTTAGAGGTTTACATTTTGGCCTCAAAATCTTGCTTTCTGGAAGATAGGGATGTACACCAGCCTCTAAATGCTGAGATTGGGGTCAAGGATAAACTGTAAAGGATGTAAGGGATGACTCTCTCGTTCAGTTTAGCCTTGGCCTTAATCGGGCCAGAGTGAACTTGTATAACTCTGTCACACTCCACTCTGTCATTAGTAGTGTGTCATGTGTTAAGCGAGGCAAAGTAATGTAGCTGGTTTGGTGTTGGGTAAAATGTGCTTATTTCTACAAGATTTGCAGTTGGAATGGCTTTTAATGAGCCTAAAAGAATTTACTTTTGCTGATCCCTTGGAAAAAAATGTTTTTTGAACACTGTTGGCTTTGATGTGTTAGTTATTATCAAGTAGTAAACTTAAAGGTGGATGGAAATTAAATCTTGAGGAAATAAAGCTGATAAGCTTGTGTAATATGTGATTCCTTCTTCCATTTTCCAACTAGTAAAAATAAATCAGTGACAAGCTACGAGTGTGAAAGAATAGAAATAGTGAAATAGAGGATACTTCACCAATCACAAGTCCATTTGGTTATTTACATTGAGTGTATTTGTTTATAAACCTAGGTTTGTGACATTTTATCTTTCCAACATAACACAGCATGTAATGTCACAAAACTTATTGCATAAACACTTCTGATTTTGTTTCACAATGCAGTTTTATTGCCATATTAAGATAGCAGTCAACTAATTTACGTGTGCTGCAGAATTTATTTTATCTTTACAAGTTTTCTTATATGAAGTATTTTAAATTAGGATTTTCTCATGCATACTATTTTGGAGTACCCAAAATACTGTGCATTAAAGTAGTTCCCTGGTCATTTTCTCTGAGTGGACCTCTCAGTACCTCCAAAGGACCTCTTGGTATTGCATTTTATGAAATAGGATTTTTTTCCTATCTTGTTGCCTGCATTTCCTTTGCCTCAAACTAATTCTACTTACTGCATCTTCTAAGCTTGTTTCCCATAATTTTATTATATTCTCCAGATTTTTCACAATCAATTCCTTTAAACTTCATCATTATGTCATTGGAATTGAAATTTTAAAAATCACTATTGTATTATAGTTAGCCCCCCCGTTATTCTGGTTTGTCTGTCTTTACCCACTTCTATCTTTTTATTAATTATTATTTTTATATTACATCATACCCCTGACATTTTTTTTCCCAGTGGTGGGAGTAGGGAGTATTTCTCTCATGAGAAATTTTTGGATTTAGTTTTAACAGAAAGCGCAACAAATTCTTTATTGCATGTGTTATTTGGAAAATAGTGGTAACACATGTTCTGTAAATGCATGTGTGAAAACTGATTCTTCTTAGTATCCCTGGGTTATTTAAAATTTTTTGCATGCATACATTATTAGAAGTACATTTGTTTTCTAAAGGAGGAATGCTATGTAATTCAATATAATTTTATGAAATAGTTTCAATATTTTTTCCCCACTCTGGAGTAGGAAATGGAAAGGACTCAAGATGAGACATCAAAAAGGAGTAGTTAAGCCAAAATAATCTACAAACAGGCAGAAAGCCTATAATTGAATGCTTGTATTTCTGTCTCACTGTGCTCAGGTTATAAAACAAGTGTACATTTAAAGGAATATTAATGCTTTTTCATTTGGGGGAAATCTACTTTAAATGCCTAAAACTTAGAACTGGAAAGTTCATTTAAAATTGTCTAGTATAACCTCTCTGTTGTACAAATAAGTAGATAGTAGTTGTAGGTAACTCAATTGTGGGTCCCTTGATGACTGTCATTGCTTTTTCTCCTATATATTCCATTTCTTTTCACAACATTGGTAGATACACAGACAGGTAGGAAGGTAGGTGGGTGGGTAGATAGATATCTTTGATTAATAGGCCCTTCTGTACACAGTTTTAGAATGTCACATTCATATAAGTCATGACTTAGCTTAAACTTCTTAGGGAAGGGTCTTTATTAACTTTAATATGTATAAGATATATCTATAGGTGCAAGGCACTGTTCTGTTTTCAGAAAGTAAGTAGCGCTGTGTAGGAAATGAACAGGATGGTGTCCTTTTTAGAAGGTGACAAGATGGGAAGAGAGGGACTGCTTGAAACCAAGTAGGCAGATAAAGCATCTTTGAGGAGGTGATATTTGAAATCTGTAAGCTTAAGCCAGCTGTTTCAAAACCCAGATAAGAGCATTTCAGACAAAAGAAACAGAAAGTTCAAAGGTCACAAGCAAGGCCAAGCCTGTGTTCACAGCAGAGAAAGAAGGCTAATGTGACTGGAGCATGTTGAACCAGATGGGAAAGAGGAGGGAAATGAGACTGGAGAGGAGGCTTGAGATCCCGTGGGGCTTTGTGGGTCAAGCTGAGTTTGCCTTTTAGTCTAAGAGCAAAGGGACCATGTGGAGAAGACAAGATTAGAGAAAGGTCAGAGTAGAACTAGAGGAATTGTCTTGTTGTGTTTTAGGCAAGAAATGTTGGTGGCTTGGACTTGGGAGTGGTTGTGGGAATGAAAATATTTATATTGAAATTATACATTGACCTTCTTTATAAAATTCTAAGGTAATTAAGAATAGGGAGGACCTGTTGTCCTTTTTTGCACCATCAAGATCTAGCATATTGCTGTACTCACAGTAATGTGCAATAAATGTTGCTTGAGCTCAGTTAGGAATATTCTCCATTTTAGAATTGGATGTAGGTCCCAAAATTGACTGAAAGGTTGTTCTGTTAGAATTTTTATTAATTTTTGTCCAAGAAAATACATACTGTGATTCTCATATCAGTTCTTCAACTTCGTGGTTGTGGAATTCTTAAGATATTTATACCCATAGATTGAATGAATAATAAATGTCAGCTTAAAAATAAATGTTTAAATGAAATAAACATGCTGTTTGAGTCTTTTTTTAAATGCTTTTGCAAATGTCAATGAAAATGCCAGAGTGGGTGAGTTTTGTTCTATTGGAAATTCACTCTCCTAGGTGATTATGTGCTTTTGATTTGCTTGTTATGATACAAGTGACTTGGAAAATACCTTCCAGTTGGGACTAGACAGAGGGAATTATGGGAATTTATATTGGCTACAGTGGCAATTAGAAGGCAGTAGTTAAAAGCACTACCAGTTATTTGTATTTTGAATCCACTAGTTTTATGTCTGAGGGAAAGGGATTGCGTGGCAGACTGGCCTTTTTTCTTCAGATTGGCTCACAAGAAGTAAAGCTAGGCAGGTTTATAAAATTGGTTCGATAAGTTGGTTAAATGTAGGGCTCTGTGGTACCTCTAGTCTCTGGGATTAAGATTTCTCATCTGTAAAGTGTGAAAGGGTTGATGTGAGCTTCCAAAATGTTTTCCAATACTCAGATTTCATGTTGTTTCTAGTATATACTGAATTTCTCACTGGTCTTTCGTCACAAATTTTAAGGAATGTGTAGAAAATAGGTTTCAAACTGTGGTATTAGTAATAGTATAATGTTGTATTTATATGTCATCAAGCTTACAGTGTATTCCAATGTCAATATGAAACAAATCATGTGAAGTCTTGATGGAATTTGGTTTATAAATGTCAAAGGTGAGGATTTGGTGCCTTGGTGTCTCCTGTGGGCTTATAATTCAAGGGATTCTCTATGGATTTTCCCTATGGCTCCAATAGGAAGCTTTTGCCAAAAAAATGAAAGCCAAGACATGAAGTCCCTTCATTTTTTTTTTTTTAAGAGAATTACTAGAAAAACCATTTTGCTACAAAGAATGTATTATAAATTTTTTCTTTATGTGCATAGCAGTAAATTTAATGTATATGGAAACAACTTAAATCAATACACATTTGTTACAAGGTACCTACTATGTATAAATCTGGGCAGATGGAAATTCACTAGATATTAAGGACAAAAGCATAAAAAGTTAAAAGGGAGCAGATTGTGATAAGTGCTATGGAGAAGTATTCTTTTATGTAGATCTTGGATGGTTTCTTCTTTTCCCGTCTACTTCTTAACTGTGACTTCTAAGAGTAAAGTTTTAGCCTCATTTTCTTCCTAATTATACTGTCTCTGGGTAATAGCGTTCATTTCCAAGTGTTCAGCTAGATAGTGACGAGTCCTGAACCTTTTCCTCCAGCTCAGTATTTAGTAAGCACCATAGTAGATGTGGGGACACAGCAAGGCCAAGACAGGTTCTAATGGAGATTACAAACTGGGGAGGGAGGCAAAAATTGTAAAAATAATGATTTAATTATAATTACAATTATTTTTAAAAAGGAAACACAGTATAATTAGGGGACCCTGACTGGGGAACTGGAGAACTGTGCCTGATGAACTCACATGTAAGCTGTTTTTGAATGTTGAGTAGAAGCCTGCCAGGCAAAGTATAGAAGTGAAGGGCTGCGATGGAGGAAAAAAAAGCAGAGAAAATACTTGAGGCAAGAGGCACAGCATTTGTCTGGGGAATAGTTTAGGGACAGAACTAGGACCCTAGCTAGAAGCTATGAGGAACACATTCTGGCTCCATAGAAGGAGGAACATCCAAATAGTGAGAGCTGCCAGGTTATGAAATAAGTACCCATTGAAGATGTTTCTAGTGTAGGTTTATAAGAATATTAGAGAGAATTCAAGCATTAAGGTATAGACAACCATGA